TTTGCTCATTGTGAATGCATAAAACACAAGTATGGCGCAGTCATTGTAAAGCTTGTTCAGTGTTACAGACCGCGCAGCCTTGGATCTGAATTCTGAAAAGTCTTTCGACGTTTACTATGACATTCTGGAAGACAGAGAACTATTCAACACATCCACGAACACCAGGACCAGAGCCGGCGTAAGGGGGGTGGGGGGTTGTGTGGTGGTGGAACACCCCCAGTCATCAGGTAGCCGGAAAAATATTGTATCCCAGTCGGCAAAACATGGATTTGTACAGGAAAAAAACCGCCAACCTCGTACCCAGGTCCTTTGAGCGGTTAAAAGGATGTGATGTCGCTACCGTTAAGTGTTAGATTTTATCCAAAATACATGGCTAAACCCGGCAAACTGTCTTTCCCACTTGAGCGCCTGCCTCGAAGGCTACCTGGCTTAACTGAAAGGTATTGTAGATGGAAATTAACGAGTGGAAATTTATATAACTTTAGGGTCCCTGGCAGGAATCGAACCTGCGGCCACCCTGCGCGATTCCGGTGCAGCGCTCTAACCAACTGAGCTACAGAGGTCAGTTGTCACGAGCTCTAACCAACTGAGCTGCAGAGGCCAGTTGTCACGAGCTCTAACCAACTGAGCTACAGAGGCCAGTTGTCACGAGCTCTAACCAACGGAGCTGCAGAGGCCAGTTGTCACGAGCTCTAACCACAAGTTCATGTATATACACTAGGGTTCGATTCCCGGGCGCAGGTCCGATTCCTTCGGGGCAACATGAGCTCCACCTTTGAATTTACTATATGAGTAAATTCTTAAACACGTCCGAATTTATCATTATGGCACATTTTGAATTTATCAATAGAGTTAATCATAAAACCACAAGCATTGGACAAGGCTATAAATGTAATGGCACTAAAAGGGAGGCTGGTCGCGCGGTGGTGGGGATATCTTCAAGATTTTCAAAAAATAGTTTTTAAAAAAGTTTTAAAAAAAGTTTTAAAAGAGTTTTAAAAAGCAAAAAAACTTTAAAACGTTAAACTTTTAAAAAAGTAAAAAAGTTAAAAAAATTTAAAAGGTTAAAAAAGTTAGGGTTAGGGGTTAGTGGTTATGGTTGGGGTTAGGGTTAGTGTTAGGTGCCGCGAATTTATTATTATGATAAATTCAAAACGTGCCGCGAATTTATCATAATGATAAATTCGGACGTGTTTAAGAATTTACTCATATAGTAAATTCAAAGGTGGAGCTCATGCTGGCCAGGGACCTTAAAGTTGCACTTTTCGCTTCTGTTCCTTGTGATGGAACTATAAATTTATATTCAGACTCTTCAGGCATGAAATTCTTGAACATTGCTGAACGGTGTGTAAACATGTCTACTGGCATTTGGTACAAAACTAATTATCTCTGGAATGTCTTTTCAAATAATGAAACTATAGTATATTTGCAGTGTGTTTCCCAAAGCTTCGGTTCACTGAAAATGGCAGATTTACTTCCCTACATTTTGCCTAAATCCTGAAATTTCCAGTGAAATTCTTCGAACGCGAACGTCAAGCATGAATCTAGTTTCCGGTGCAGCTAGTGTTTTGACGTGTTGCATGCGTTCTTGTCGTTCAGCACGAATGTCAAAACTGCGAAACTGACGTCCTCTAGAGAACGCTATCTCCAACCGGGAATTTGAAGCGAAACTGGTGAAAAACCCCTGGAAAATCAGTGTGATATTGGGTTGTGTATGCAAATTTCTTGCCTTTTTGCGTTCTTTCCACGCTATACGATATAGATCGAAGTTATATTCTTCGGCTAATCGCAAACAATTTTCGCGTTTTACCCTGTAATATTAATAGACCTGCCAAGTTCGGCCGGACTGGAGCACAACCTCGTTCCCGGGACTGGAGCATTGCTGTCATATTTACTGGTAACATTTTTAAAACAGCATTTCAAATTTAACCAAGGCTCTCCGACATATTCACTGTAATACGTCTTTCACAAAGATCATAAGATCCACAGAATCTTCTGAATAAAGAAATTGAGATATGTGTAATCTGCCGGAATCGACTCCATTGTGAGCTAAAAAAATTTTAAAAAAATGTTTATCAAGTTTAGATTAGTGTCAGACAAAGATCAGATTAGGGTTCAGTAGATTAAGATTTAGATTAGGGTTAGGGCTCATGTCTCGAATTTATTGTATTGATAATTTCAGACGTGTTTACAGTTGATTTCCTGATAACTTTTCCCTGAATGCTGCGAACCGTTTGGAACTTCGTTGTGAAGTTCAAAAGTTCATACTGAAATTCACAAGCCGGTTGGTAAACAAAGCCTCTGATTGGTCCCTGTACAAAAATAAGCCAATCAGAGGCTTTGTTTACAAGCTGGCTTTTGAATTTCAATATGAACTTTTGAACTTCATAACGAAGTTCGGAACGAAGTTCGCAACATCCAGGGAAAGTTATGTGAAATCAACTGTAATAATTTACTCACATAGTAAGGTGGAGCTCAATCAGCTCATTATGGCAATATTTACACTGCTGACACTGTCACAGCATTATAATTAATCACGGCAAGGAGTGAGTGGAATCACTGTCAATGTTTTCATGGTTTATCCAGTAGCGTAGCCGGGCGGTGGGGAGCATTGAGTGGCGAAGACACAAATCACCCACGGGGGTCCGGGCCGGGGCATGCTTTCCCGGGAAAAGTTTGGATTTCTAGGGCTTGGAAATACCATCTCCCACATTCTGATACGAGTTTTTAAAAGTAATTGAAAGGTCATAAATCACAAAATTCTGTTATTATTACATTGGAACAAGGCACACTACATGTGAAAATGTATTTAGATTTAATTTATTGATTATATTGATTATCAACTGAAATATTTCATAAAATTATAGACCTATCATCACACATTTGGTAACTAAATTTAAACTATATCCATTTTTCTGGGAGCACAAATGTTTGTGGAGCATTACATGGAGCATTTTCAACCCCGGGGTTGAACTCAGCCCTGTTTACCGGGTTGAAATTTCAGCCCTGTCTGTAATACAAAACTCTATCAAAATCAAACGCGCGATTACATGACAAAATTTTCAACCCAGGGCTGAGTTTAACCCCGGGTTTGAAATTTCAACCCTGCTTCAGCTAGCAGGGTTGAAATTTCAACCCCGGCGTTGAACTCAGCCCTGGGTTGAAAATTTTGTCATGTAATCGTTTCAACCCAGGGCTGAAATTATAATGAGTTATTCGAGCGTGCGTGGTAGTTAACAATTATTCGCCGAAGGCGAGGTGATTATCGGTGAATAAAAACCGAGACGAAGTCGAGGTTTTTATTCACGATAATCACCGAGCCTGAGGCGAATAATTGTTTTAGTATAATTTCATAGGTGATTATTTGGAAAAAAATAAGAAAATACATATTTTTCTTCGTCATTTAATTGACAAAAAGGCTTCGGCCGCCATTTTGAAAATCGCTTAGGTGATTATCGCGTAATAATCACCTCAACGGCAACCAATCAGCGTGGAGAATTTTCAATAATCACCTATGTAATTATACTAATGACAGTTATTACAAGAAAACAAAATAAAGGCTTTTTTACTTCCGCGAATCGATGCCGAGAACGTATAGTATAACTTTTTAACCCCGGGGTTGAAATCGTCCATGTAATCGCAAAAAATTTCAACCCGGTTAACCGAGGGCTGAGTTCAACCCCGTGGTTGAAAATGCTCCATGTAATCGGCCCCTAAAGCCAAAGTCAGATGAGATTGACAGCTATACCAAATATAGACTATCGTTCTTTAGTTCTTTTATCGACTCTGGTGGAAAAAGGCGGGAAATTGAAACAAGTTCTCTCACTTCCCATTTGCGAAACATCACTTAGGTTATCGATAAACAATTCCTCAGATTCAGTTAAATTTCCTTAAACATTTCGCATTGTTGGTGAACGAATAGTCTAAATTTAAGGAAAGTTCCTTAAAAGTGAGAACGCTGTTGGTAAATTTTCATCCATCAATATCACCTGACGTCATTCTTGGCTCGAGTCCTGAATCGAGTCCTAGCTCGAGTCCTGGCTCGAATCCTGACTCTATATTTAGGTACCCTCCTTCTGTAGTTGATCATCAATAGAGACTGCCAGTATAAAAGGCTAGTACATTATCAAAGTTTTCAGTAGTCTAAGTTTTGAAGGATTTGTAAGAAATGTTTGACGAAATTGACTTGGTGTTAACCTTTGAATTAAGGCCAATAATGTTCGTTTGCCCAAATCTTCAATAGTTCAATCCGTTCAATCCAATATATCGCTTGATATTTTATGCTGGGTTTATATACAGCTGATTCAGTTAAAGGTTGACCTTCCAAAACCTTGAACCTTAAACTCTGAGCGCGCAAGGGATGATGGGTTTTCACCTATTTGGCCCTTAAACTAAAAAAATTGCCTTTGCAGCAAGTATGTTTTCTGTCGTGAGTATTCTATATGTCTTAGGTATTCTTGCAAAGCCAAATTTAAAAGTTTATGAGTCTAAATAAGCAATAACCCATCATCCCGTGCTCGCTCAGAGTTTAAGGTTCAACTTCTTGGAAGGACAACCTTAATTGAATAACTGCACACAATTAAGATGTTTAATGTTTATATACAAGTGACGTTATATACATTTAGTACGCTGACTGACTTGCAAGTAGCCAGAGCAGGGGCGGCGCTAGGAATCCTTCAATGGGGG